CCAAAAACCAACGCCGAAAACCGAATGCCGAACGCCGGTTTCTGAAACCCGAACGCCGGATGGCTTGGTTTTTGGTTTGGGCGAACACCAAGTGTTTTTAATGTTTTAAACATGTTTGAAAAACATTTTTATGATGTGTGAAATGCAATGAAAAGAATTTTAGCCTAAAGAGCCAAGGTGTAAAGGTTGGGTCGGTCTTGATCACAATTATGACCGACTCAACAACACTAAGACTACGGTCTTCGTTCTTGGTATTCTTTTGGGTCTTGTTCTCTTGCTTTCTTCTTATATTTATTTCTCGCCTTGTATATTCAATAACTTGTCTCGTTCACGGCGGTTTGGCATTATCAAAACCTGTCATAAAAACGAACACGGCTTTAGTACGAAAACACGATAAACCCGTGTTTCAACAATTTCCCCCTTTTTGATAATGGAAAACAAGACGGGGTTATGCATAGGAGGATTGATTTGAGACTTAAAAAATGTTCCCCCTTAATAAATGCAATTTAGAAATAGTTCCCCCTCAATCTATGCATAAGCTTTATATCTTCCCCCTTTTGACATTAGCAAAAAGCAGTTCAAAAAATTGTAAAAAAAAGAACTCCTTGAACATTGATGTTTGATACTGAACATCGATGTACGAAAATGTCTTGGAGCATCAATTGTCAACAATATCGTAAAACGATCTTCCCCCTTGATGCGATTCATTGGGTTCCGTGCTTGGAGCATCCACTACAGGTTTGTAGTCTTCAAGCACACCCTTTTGTGTATCTAGTAATACCATTGAGGTACCCAATAGCTTTTGGGTCCTTGGGGGTTAGGCAAATAAAAATCATAATTATAAGAAGTGTCCCTATGTTTAGCAAAACACACGGGAGCTATGTGTCCTATCTTAGAACAATAATGACATACTACGTTTGGATTATGCATATGCCTAGGTTGAGCCAAAACTTTCTAAATGATCTAAAATCATTATTCATAGAATTATTAACTAAATTCCTATACTCATTTCTAGGTTGTCTCAAAATATTTCTACCATTTGTAAAAATCCTAGAGTCAATTCTAGGCTGTCTCACCTTGTTACTTTTATTCTTTCTAAAATTAATTTTGTTATACCTATGATTATTAGTTCTTCTAGGTGGTTTATCATTCTTAACTTCTACCTTAATTTTTTCGATGGTGCTCTTAAGTTCTACATTCTCTACTTTTAAAGACTCACAAGAGGAACATGTAGAACTTTGGTCAAAGAAGGAATCTTCATTCATTGCCTTAATTTTATTTTTGAGGTCAAAATTATCATTTTCCAAAAATTTATTTTCCTCTTCCAAAGCATGAATTTTTGCCTTAGCCTCTTTGGCAATTTTTGAAGATTTCTTTAATTCACCAAATAATTCTTGAAAGGCTTCTTGTAATTCTTCAAATGAGAAAGATTTAGAAGCACTTACCTCTCCATTTCGTTCATGAGCCATAAGACATAAGGTGGCAGTTTCGTCACCAGAACTTTCCGAATCCCATGCCATGTATGCTCGTTCCTTCTTTTTCTTTTCCTTGCGGTTTGGGCAATATGGCTTTATGTGGCCAAGTTCTCCACAACCAAAGCACGTTGGAACAGGTTCCCCCTTTCTTTTACAATCTCGGGACCCAAGTTCTTCCTTCAAAAACTCTTGGAACTTCTCGAGCAAGTTATAAGAAGGATTAT